TTAGCCATAATTGGTAAAACATGTATTTTTATATTTATAAAATTAAAACATATATTTGTTTATATTTCCAAATTAATTAGAAAACCAATGATTTTCATTTTTTTTAACATTTTATAAATTCAAAATTTTGAAAACCTTCTACAGATATTTTGTGAACTTAAAAGACCTAACAATATTTTATAATATATATAATAGATTTTAAAGTCCATGGTTTTTTATGCTCCTATTGTATAATTTTTTTTATTAAAAAAAAAGTATTAAAAGAGAATTGTCTCTAAGCTGGTTCTCTATTTTTAAATTTCTCTAGTTGGTCCCAAATAAAAAATAAAAGAAATCTCTAATTGAATATGTCACGTGGAGGTTCTCATATTTTGAAAATTTTATATGATCATTATAGATGGTTCGAAATTAGAGAGATTTTGAAACAAAGACAATGATCTTTGGCCAATGTTAACTAACCAAATACATATTTTGTTTTTGGAAATAAAAACAACATCATTCATACATAAAGAAAATAATAGAGTTGAATTACATTCCTTGTTTGGCAAGTTGGATTTTACCTTTTGGACTAAATTTACAAAAAGACAAAATAAGACAAAATAAGTTAAAATAGTTAATAAGACAAAATGTCATATTAAATCCATAATCATTTCACTTTTTCTCTCACAAACATCACATCCAACTACAAAAAAACTAACTATCTTCTTAAACACAAAAATTTTAACCTACTAAAACAACTTACTAAGATAGCCAACTTCTCAAACAAGGCCTTAAAAGAAAGCAACCCATACCAACTTAGCAAAAGAGACCTAGATAGAGAGTTCCAACTTCCAAACAAACATGTTTCAAAGATAAAAATATGACCAAGGGGGTAGACTAATTAAAGAACAAACACAAACAAGCCCCCTTGAGACTAAAAGCACAGCATATTCTAAAACTTCTAACAACTTTTGAAGCCACAGACACCACTTCTAACCTCCACATGCCTTGAAACTTCTCCTCAAGAGCAGCAAAATGAGCAAGCTTAAAAAGGCTTTTTTTTTTGTAGATCTCTACGTTGCAAAAGACCGATCCTACAACAATGCAGACCTCGAGCATTATGACAAACATTGAAAAACCATGGAGAGCTATGACCACCTTCAAATCTTTGTGCCCGTGCTAGCTGCTGAAACAAATTTTTAGACTGTGTTTGGATCAATGAATTGTGAATGGAATGGAAAGAGAAAGAAAAAAAAGAAGAAGCTCTATTTCTTCATTTTCCCCTTTATTTTTCCTTTTCATTCATAAATTTCTTTTGAAATCTTTGATCCAAATGAACTCAAGGGGGGGAAAAATAGTATGAATCACAATATGTAGGAGAGAATGAGAGAGATCATCCTATTTACTCCATGAAGAACAGAGATAACAGAGGAGTTCGTAGCAGAGGAAAGACAAGATCTCACAAATCCAAATTGAGACAACAATAATATATCCAAACACTTGTTAAGATGATTTTTAATTGTAAAATAGCACATCATTCTAGTGGAATTTCTATATAACTTTTATATAAGATTAATTTTTTTATTTTTAAATTCATATATAAAAATTACATTCCAAATTATGTGATGATGGTATTATTAAAATTATGAGCCACCGGGTGGGATTTTATTTATTTTTTGGGTAAATTATACAAACATTTCCTTAGATTTGGAAAAAATATAACTAGCCTCATAGGTTTGTCAGAAGTACACTTGTCTCTCATTTGGTAAGACTAAAATAATCAAAACTAATACAAATATTATGAAGACACCAAGTTAAATAAAGAAAAATATATAATTCATTATAAAAGATACGACAATATCATTTTCCATCCACATGACTAAAAAATTATTGATGAAAATATGATTAAGTGTTATATGACATATAACTTTAAAGAACCCCAATGTTTTTTTGATCAGCAAAATGAAACTTTATTAATGAAGAAAGCAAAATATGCTAAAACTTACATCAATAAAGATGGAAAGTGCAAAAAGCATCAACGCTAACCTTAAAAATCCCAACTAGGTTGACACCACTAAAGAAGCACAATCATATGTGAGCACTAACCCAATGATTGGTGAGGAACAAAAAAAACAGACAAAACAACAAAAGCAGCCTACAGCAGTAGCATGCTGCTGCTATTCAGCATCATACACCATAATACAGCATACACCTACAGCAAAAACACCAGAAGCATACAGCAGCAGACTTTCAGCAGCATACAGCAGATCAGGTCTTAACCCCAGCATCAAACATTGCACCAGATCCTTGATTAGACGAGCCTCACAGCAGGAACAAGCTACCACATCTGCCACGACCACCCCCAGCAAACTCCTCCAGAACTTATAATCAATACACCAACATGTACTAAATAATTAACTCCCAAGAGAACCACAAACACAACAGATAAACTGCCCTCTGCTTCCCAATACACTTTATCAGGAAGCTACACAGCAGCATACCCCCACCATACCCTCCCAGCCAATACACCAGCATCTGCCCAAATCTGAGTTTGTGCGTGAATTTGCTCAGCAACAGAGGTTCTGCTTGACTTTGCTCTGCCACAGATCAACATGCATTTGCTCTGAAACAAGTCCTTTGGGCCTCCTTGAAGAAGCAAAGTTTCTGCTTTGCAGCAGATCAGCAATTCAGCCTAATTTGCAAATCATTGAACCCCCATTTCTGATACAAACTTCACCAAGATTAACCCAAATTCTCATGCCAAAATTTGCAAAAAGCCCAGATACAGAGCAAGACCATAAACACCTGCTGCTGCACACCAGGAGACTTTTATGTCATTGTAAATTGCAACGAACCCTGCCACCTAGAAAAGCTCTAACATGATTGAGATTGAAAATTAAGTCAGTCACAGAGTAATGGATGTCTTTTACTGAGGCCTTGAGCCATAGCGCAAGCCTAAGCTTTATAAGCTCACTCAACTCAATTGTGGAATATGTTGTATTTTCTCTAAATCTCAAGGGAGATAAGTGCAATCTACCCTTAGTTTTTGTTTGACTGAAAAGCTAAAATATATATGTATATATATAAAGAAAATTAATTACGAAGATTACATACAAAAATTATTTGCAAAAGAGTAATACTGTATACAATTCTATTTTTTATTTATTTTTCTCATTCTTAAACACAAAATAACGAGGTTCACATTCATAAATGCATATGAAACCTATTTGCTTGTGCATTGGAGAATGAGAAAAAGAAGGAAGAAATATAATTATATGTAGCATTTTCTTTCGCAAAAAAAATACATTTTTCAAAAAAAAAAAAAAATAAAATAAAAAATGCCAAGACACTCCAAATTTTCTACTTTGCATGTGTTTGGTAAAAAAGTCTATACATACCTCTTGCTTAAAAAAAAAAAAAAAAAAAAATTGAAAAATGATATATAGATTGAAGTTTTAGATACATCTCTAGACCTAATGATGTGTAAGTAAAATGATTGGTTCATAATTAGAGAAAATATGAAAAAGAATTGCCTAAGAGATTCTAATTATTTTCTTCTACATTAATAAGTTTGAAAATTAAATCTAATTTTTGGTCTGAAATAACATCGCCCATATATATATATATACACTAGGTGCAAAAAAGTCTATGCATACCTCTTGCTTCCAATGCTTTAAGTTTTACCATTAATTTTGTTAAATCAACTTCAACTTCTTCTTCTGGTTGGATAATCAACTTCTTCCTCTTCTTCTTGAATGGCACTTGGGGAAGGTGATGGGATGTAGTCGGTCAATGCTTCATCATTTGTATCCACATTATTCTCATCAACCTCATAAATTAATTTAGCCGCACACTTTTTTATCTGTAACCGCTAATACTCTTTTACGCTGTATTTGGTTGGGAGATTTGAGGAGGGATTTGGAAAGGGAAAGGAAAAAGTAAGGTAAAATGTGAATAAAATATACTTACATTTCACATAGTTTCACACACCTTTTCCCTTTCTCTTTCCAAATCCCTTCCCAAATCCCCCTAACCAAACACAGCATTAGGAAGATCTCCACTTCATCACCGCCTTCTAAGTTACTCATAGATCTAGATTTGACGAACATAAGGTCTTCACCGGTGCTCGGACATACACTCTGACGGCAAAATAATGAATTTGAAGTCCAGACTTTGTTAATATGGATTTCACCCTCGATTACACAACGCAAAAAACTAAGATTGGATCCATTGTAAACTACGGATATAACCAAGCCCAGTATTTTATGATTTATTAGAGGCGGCACCTTGAAAGATAAATATGACCCTTCACTTTGGTACTCGAACCATCTGGGAACCTCACCACATGGAAGATTGATCTCAAATTCATTTACAATAAGAAAATCCTGTTCCAATAGATGATGCATTAATCAAACTACATACTAATAAATCTCTTTTCCTTACTAAGATATGCAATGAAAAATAAAATCCCATTTGATATCAGAAAAAATAAATAGAAAGCCACAAGTGAAGGGGGAAAAAAAGAAAAAGCAATTTTCCCTTTTCTCTTTGTTTTCCCTCCACAAATTCAAGATCCAAACAAAGTCTTGGATGAATGAGACATTAGCAATTGTATTAATTCAGAATAAGCAGGGATTGACTATGATTCTTCAAGTATGAATTATTATACCAATGAGAGAGAGAGAGAGAGAGAGAGAGAGAGAGAGATACCTTAACCTGCTGGATGACTGCTGTTATGAAATTATTTCCAAAATTGTTCTTGACTAATTTATGGCAACCATTAAAGTTAAGGCACCTCCGAGAATAACCCCCAACCAGCGATTTTAACTCAATGTTCTCTAATGAAACACAATCCAATGCATGCACTTCACGTATGCTCTCAGGAAGCTCAGGAATTGACTGGAGCCTTGCACAACCATCCAAGAAGAGGTGTCTCAAGTTAGTAAGCTTACAGATGCCATTCGGTAAGGTACGGGTAAATTGTTTCTTCTAAGATACAAGACTTCTATTGAGTTCAACTTTCAAATTTCACTGGGCAAATGTGACAGATTGCAGTTATCCATATCTAGAACATCCAAGCGAGTAAGGTTACATAGGCTATCCGGTAATGTACACAAAAATTTGTTTCCGTCAAGTCCCAATTTTTTTAATGAGATCAAACTCCCAATTTCACTGGGCAAATGTGACAGATTGCAGTACCCCATATCTAGGCTCTCCAAGCGAGTAAGGTTACATATGCTATCCGGTAACGTACACAAAAATTTGTTTCTGTAAAGTTCCAAATCTGTTAATGAGATCAAACTCCCAATTTCGCTGGGCAAATGTGACAGATTGCATTCTTGCATATCTAGCTTCTCCAAGCGAGTAAGGTTACAGATGCTATCCGGTAACGTACACAAAAATTTGTTTCTGTAAAGATCCAAATCTGTTAATGAGATCAAACTCCCAATTTCACTGGGCAAATGTGACAGATTGCAGTATCCCATATATAGCCTCTCCAAGCGAGTAAGGTTACATATGCTATCTGGTAATGTACACAAAAATTTGTTTCTGTAAAGTTCCAAATCTGTTAATGAGATCAAACTTCCAATTTCACTAGGCAAATGTGACAGATTGCAGTCTTGTATATCTAGCCTCTCCAAGCGAGTAAGGTTACAGATGTTGTCCGGTAACGTACACAAAAATTTGTTTCTGTAAAGTGCCAAATCTGTTAATGAGATCAAACTCCCAATTTCATTGGGCAAATGTGACAGATTGCAGTCTTGCATATCTAGCCTCTCCAAGCGAGTAAGGTTACAGATGCTATCCGGTAACGTACACAAAAATTTGTTTCCATAAAGTTTCAAATCTGTTAATGAGATCAAACTGCCAATTTCACTGGGCAAATATGATACATTGCACTTGGCTATATTCAATGTCTTCAAACTTCTTAAACCATGTAGTGAAAAACCAATGGAATCCACATTCTTTCTTGGCAATGCCCACGATGAGAAAAATGTGTACAATGATTTTGATGGTGATCCTTTAAATCCAGCAAATTCTCTTAGCTTGGCGCAGCCAGAGAGATCAAGATGCTCAAGAGATTTCAACATCAAAATCCTTGAAGGCAACTGCTGAAGTTTTATACAATTTGCCATGTCTAGGACAATAAGTTTGCTGAGACATCCAATAGATTCATCAATCTTTACCAACCTGATGCAGTTATCAATAAACAGTTCCTCAAGATTGCCGAGTCCAGAGAAGTTTGGGGTTTTGGTTAGGTAATAACAATGGCTGAGATAAAGGAATTTCAGATTATTAAGATCCTGTCAAAAACACAAAGAGAAAAATTATTTTTCACATCAGTACAATATGATTGACATATGAAATGTAAAGAAGTAATGTTGTACCTTGGTTCCCTTCCAAACTTATCAATATATGAAACGTAAAGGAATAAAATTGTACCTTGGTTCCCTTCCAAACTTGTTTCAGTTTGCTATAACGCAAGTCAAGAGCAACCAGCTTCTCCATGTATAATTTCGATGGCAACCATAACAATGGACAACCCTTCCAGCTTAGCCATAATAGCCTCCTAAAATTATGTTCAAAACCTGAACTCAGGTGAACAAAATCAAGATGAAGCAGCCACAATTGGTTCATATTTTCAAAGGCCTTCGCATTCACTTGGACTTCTTTTGACTCAGGAAAGTTCAGGGAGAGGCCCTTAACTGCTTCAGTACCCTGATAAGAAAACCCATGGCACAAAAAAATTACATTGGTTGGAAGACAACACATAAGGCCAAGTACATTTGTATCACTTAATTGCCAGAATTATGAATGTGCATATGCATGTGAAATTATTGCAAGAATTAAACATCAATTATTAATTGGAAGTTCATGCTTATGGTTCTCACCGTGCCATATCTCAACACTTCAAGGCCATCCTCATGATGCCACAATCTACTACGCCTTCCAGGCTCATCATTAGATTCTTTCTTGACGATTTCTCTACCCATGTCTTTAAGCATATCATGCATCACAAGCTTGTTCCTAGGCCCATATTTTATGAGACAACGATCGAATAGAATCCTCAACCCAATTTCAGGGAATAATTTACAGCCTTTTAATATTTTGATTATAAAATTTCGATCCATTCCAACAAAGAAACATGCTATATCCAAGAATAACGCCTTCACTTCGTCACTTAATGAATTGTAACTTATTTTAAGTTTTTCTTGAATACCATTATGAGGGATTTTTTTTAATTTTTCTATTGCACTTTCCCATTCCGGTATGCTTCTGATGTGAAAAAAAAACGAACCCAAACTTTCAAGAGCTAATGGAAGCCCTCTAGCATAGTCCACAACTTGTTTTGAAAGCTCCACATAGTTTTCTACGGGATGGTCTTCCTTAAAGGCATGCCAACTGAAGAGTTGAAGAGATTTGTCCTCATCCAACTCATTTGGTGTATATATCTCGTCCGGTTTAAAATTTAATGATGACAAATCTCTTGTTGTTATGATGATTCTACTTCCAGAACCAAAATAAGTTCGATCTACGGCTAATTCCTTTAATTGTTTGATATCATCCACGTCATCCAAAACAAGTAGAACCTTTCGATGCAATGCTCTCTGTATTATGACCTCTTTTCCTTGGTGAATATTTCTGATGTGATGAATTTCATTTTTGAATATATCGGAAAGAAGTTGTTCTTGTAATTTTAACAGACCATTTGGTTTCTTCCAAGTTTCTTTGACATCTGCAAGAAAGCAGCAACCATCAAATCTACGGTGGATGAGTTTATACAAATTTTTAGCTATTGTTGTCTTCCCTAGTCCACCAATCCCCCATACTACAACAATGCGAACATCATTATCATTTGACTCTATGCGCAACAACATTCTGAGTTTCTGCACACGATCCTCTAGTCCAACCGGGTGGTCTGCAACACTTAGATGTTCAAGATCTATTACATTCCCAACTTCCTCAATGATTTTAGCAATTAACTTCACTTCATCTCTGCCAATTTGAGCAAAATTAAAAAACAAGAATAAGTATTTAGCAAATTCATGCATCTGGTGCTATGACATTTCATATTTGATGGATAAACCAGTTTGATTTATTTTTATGAATAACATAAATGATTCTAAATATAATCTTATAACTACAATTAAGATTCTACTTATACATCCAAATGAAACTATTCCTAATTTGTGTTGTTTTAGGTTATTTTCAAGCAAACATTAAGAGGCTTGAGGAAAATACCCGTTGTACACGTTCTTCAAGTCCCAACCAGACAAATTAGCAGCCTCAGTAAGAGCTGCCCTCCATTTCTCCACCTTGCCATCTGAACTCTTTCCAAAATGGTCTTCATGCTTGGCAAATGCTTCTACAAGGCTCCCCTTTTGCGTCCGCACATCAGACGGATCAACATCATAAAAAATAGGCAGAACAATCTGATTAAATGTCTTCTTGCACTCCACGATCCACACCAGTTCATCCAGACACCACTTCGACATTGCATAATTTTTTGAGAACACGACAATCGAAATACTAGACTCCTCAATTGCTTTTAGAAGTTCAGAACCAATATCTTCTCCTCTGTTGAGCTTTGTGTCGTCTCTAAATGTGTAAAAACCATGTTGCTCTAAAGCAGCTAATAGATGACTGCTAAAGTTCATGCGGGTATCGATGCCACTGAAACTCAAACAAACATCATATTTGTGTAGTACAGTAGAGGAAAATGAAGAGGCGTCGTTTGCCCAAGACGCAGCCATGCGTGAAGCTCAAAGATGAATGGAAGTTTGTAGACTGGTGCTTTTGTTCGAGGAACAAGGGATAGCCTTGTATACATTCCTTGTTAGGTGGCTTGTATTATTGTATATAGGGATGGCAACGGGAGTTAAATGGGAGTCGAGATTAATTCTTCATTTTCATTCTTCTATAATTATTTTTTTTCATTTACTGCCCTCCGTATCTCCTAATCCTAATGGGTTTGAATTTTTTCCAATTTAACTTGACCCTTTTTTTTTTGTTTTTTTTTTTCTAAATTTTTTTTTTTTTTTAAGATTCACAACCAAAACTAAATATATATTCAATCTTATTTTATTTTATTTTATTTAACTCAACAACAAAATCAAATACACATTAATTAATATTGTCACGTTATTCTTGTCAAATTTTATGTATATTTAGATTTTTTAAATTTATTTAGAAAAAATTTATTCGTAACAAAAAATTTATCTTCTTTTTTAATTTTATATGTTCCTTTCTCCTCTCCATTAATTGATCTTCGATAATCTGAAGGTGAGTTGCTGCTCTCGTTTCCATCTTCTTCTTCTTCTTCTTTTTAATTTTTATTTGCATTTATAAAATGAATTTTCTTATTTCAATATCTCCTGCAATTGTTTTATTGGTTTTTCTCTGATTTGATGGTAACCTTAGATTGAATTTCTCAATTTTCATTTTAACTAGTGATCACCTTAATTGAAATTTTGTACATTTTTATCTTCAATTTCCATGTTTTGGTTATGATTAATCGCGCATTTTTAATCGATAGTCACAGTCTTGTCCTGCTAGATCGTCGCTATCGCAAATCGTCGTTGCTATAGTGAGAGGATGAGAGAGAGTGAGAATTAGAACTCTAATTGTAAACAGAGTAGTAAAAACATATGGAGAAATTATTTTTCGATATACCTAAAAAAAATAAAAAACATATGAGAAAATTAGTGGGTACCCATCTCCGGTGGAGATTTAAAAAACATCACTTACCTGACCCGACGGACAAGAAAAAAGGAAAAAACTCATGTATTTGGGTTGGGTCTCCATGGATGCTCACATGGTAGGTTATCCATTGTCATTCCTACTTGTATATATTTCAAAAGATTCTTACCTCTGGAATTAAACAAAAGGGTTAAAAGAAGTAAAATTATAACACTTTCTAAATGAAAATATTATGATTTTATTCCACAAATACATATTGTAATATTACTTTGGCAATGGTGGAAGCAAATGAGTGATCCATTATTGTTAAAGAAGGAGAATATAATTGTCAAATCGGGATTTGTATCATGAATCGAAATGGTTTCGTACCGAATCGTCAATCGAATCGAATCGTAAATCATAAAGATTCGATCACTTTTTCTAAATTACTTAAAAAATATATGTCTGTACATTTAGATATTAAATATACCTTATGAATATGAAATATTTAGACTTAAATCAATGAAAACGTTATTTTGAATGATAATCACGTAGTTTAATAGATAGAAGTTAACAAAGGTTCTTATGTAAGATCACCATCTTACCTTTTTTTTCTTTTTTAGATATTTCTTATCAACCATTATTAGGCCTTGTTTGGCAATATTACTTTTTAACCTAAAAGCCAAAAAATCATTAAAAAAATCAAAAAAATAACAACCTATACCAAAAAGTCAAAGATTTCATTTTCTCTCTACTTTTTGCATATCTTTTCGCAAAAAACTAAAAAATCATCTCAAACATACTAGTTTTTTTATCTCATATTTTGGCCAAAAGTCAAAAAGTTATTAAAATAGTCTGTTCCCAAACGAGGCTTTAATAAAGATAATAACCAAAGAGACAAACTATCAATTTCCAAAGTAACAATAAGTAACAACGATTTTGATATTTAGACAATAAACATACATACACAACTACAAATATAGATAAAGATCACATTTTTTTTGTGTGATGTATGTTTTTTAATCATACCTTTTAAATTTTATTAAAGTGTGGTCTTTGGGAGTGTGATTAAAAGAGGTCATTTTTAATCACACTTTTTAAGTGTCATTAAAAAATGATTTCATCACATCTTTTAAGTGTGATTAATAATATTTAGATCACATCTTTAAAGTGTAATTAATAACATTTAGATCACATCTTTTGAGTGTGATTAATAACTAATAAAACCTGTGATAAAAAAAAAGAATTCGACATATTTGAAGAATAATCAATATTATTTTTGTACACGCATTTGAAGAATGTAATATACACTATATACTATATTTTAAATCACAACCATATATTGAATGGAATAACGTCATATATTTCATAAATAAAAGTTAAATGTTCAAAAGTATATGCAAAGGAATTAATAAAAAGTTTTTAACTGTGATTATATTAAAAAATGAAAAAAAAAAACTTGAAAAAATTAAATTCTTGAATTCTTTGACCATATTTTGCATCTTTCCAGGAAATTTTTGACTTGAAAAATAAAAACACAAATTAATTCATAAACCGCTAGAAGCATATGAATAAACTTACTTTTTTTGTAGATGAATGTATATGGGTCGTTCTCATAAAAGAATAAATCGTGTGCATGATCCACATAAAGTATGCAATTGACAACTTCTAACACACAAAAATAAATATATAGAAATAAAGCCAACAATTAATAAGTAAATGTAATAAGAAAGCAAACCACAGGAGTATGCATTATATACATCATATTTGTGGAGTTTTATCTTCCAATTTTAAAATTTTAAGTAGAAATATATAAATAATAAATCAGATTACATGATTTTCTTATACAATATGCATTAAGGATAGATAAATGTATTAATAGGTTGCGACGACATTTCCGTATAAGTTGTGTCGGTGTCCTCCATCCATGTCCATTATACATAGTAGGGCACCAAAACAAATTCACTGAACTAATATTATATGATGCAAAGACTACTGCAACTCAAATTTAGAAGCCATCTACATCATTTCCCACTAAGGTAACACCATGTTTGTGGTTCCCAGACAAAACAAAGTTTAAGCATTGGATTACCATGTCGAATTGCCCCTATATGGCCTTCTATAAATTCATGTATATGATCAACTACTTCTCATTAGAGTGCTTCGTATCAAATAAAACTTTTATTCAAATTTGTTTAAAATTTTGAGTGAGGACTAAACATAATATATTTTTTTAAGCAGCAATGAGTAAATAATAAGAAATAATTATTTAGAATATTTTATTTTAAAGCCTAAAACATTTGAAAATGTATAACTGACCTCACACATGTAATATTCAATTATATTCAATTTAATAAAATAACAATAGATAAGTCATAGTGTAACTTTAATCTTAAACATCTTTTAAAAATATTGTGTCAGCTTGATTGGTTAGGTTTTTCAAAAAATATTTTTCAAAAAATTCTACTTTCTTATTTTTCGTATTTTTTTGTTTTTACTGAATTTTTTTTAATATTTTAAGCAATTTTCTAAAGTTTGGATAATCTTTTCTAAAGTTTGGATAATCTCTCATGCTTTTCCAATGTAGAAAGCAAAATAATGTTTAAAGAGTATTGGAGGGCTAGAGGCTAACTAAAATGTCTAATTTGAGTGTTTTAAAGAATTTGTTCAATATGCTCTTACACTATGTTTAATAATTGTTATTTATTTAACTAAATTCATTAATATCATGGATGAACAGGATGAGTAATGTCATGAGACATACTATATTAATTAGAATAAAATATAACATGAAATAAAATGAGAGAATCATTTACCTATAAATAAGAATAGGCCTTTAATTCGGTGGTATAATTCAAGTGATTGAATAAACAATCACATGTTAATACCTATTGAAAATCAACTAAACCGTGTCGAAGCAAGTTCAAGGAGACATGTGGGTCCGGATGTCGCCTCTAATCTGGACAGAGGAGGGATAATTGTACGTCCAAGCTGACTTCATATGAGGCGTGAGGATTTGGGTCTGCTTGGAATTTAGATCCTCTCTTAGTTCAATGAAGGTCTCAACTTCAATATATAAGGTAATACGACATCAATAAAAAACCAAAATCATTAGTTTATAACCTTAGTAATGTAGGCTTCGGCCAAGTTTGGATATCTTAAATAAATACACACTTTTTATCTTTTTTTCATCACATCATCTCTCTATTTTTCTGCACATCTTTTCGTAAAAAGACAAAAAGTGCACTTATTTAGGTCATCCCAAACAACCCCTTCATACATTCTGACTACCTATAGGCAGCTCAACCATTTTGCTCGTCTTATATCTAGTCTCTCTCGCATCAAATGACCTGCAAAATAAAACATTGACAATGATGAGCATCATATAATTTGATTAAAAATTCAGTGTCCTGTTAGTTATCCTAAGTGATTCATCTTACCAAAATCCACCAGGTCAGACAAGTTTTACAATTTGTTTTCTAGTAATCATTCTCATACGATTAATATTCCAAAAAACACACGTGTACAAAACAAATCATAAATACTATCCAAGGCAATCTGATTTCCCCAAACATTTCAACTTCACTGTCCTCTGTTTGCTAAGCTTGTCTAGAGGTCACCCAATAACACTGAAGATTGACATTACTATGAGAAGACAATCTTTCCAAGCTGCATATAGGTGAATTTCTGGAGAAACTTGAATCTGACCTTGTAAGCCTATAAGCTTCATTTTTCATTTTTATATCCCAAAAGGTCACTTCCTGTAGAGCATCAGTTCACCCTTTGTAAGGATTGTCAATTGACAATGGGTATGTTAGGATCTTGGATTTGTGGAGGTCAAATAAAAGGGGTAGAGGAAAGACAAGATCCCACAAATCCAGATTGAGACAGCAATAATATATCCAAACACTTATTAAGATGATTTTTAATTGTAAAATAGCACATCATTCTAGTGGAGTTTCTGTATAACTTTTATATAAGATTAATTTATTTAATTTTAATTTCTTATATAAAAATTACTCCAAATTATGTGATGATGGTATTATTAAAATTATGAGCTACTGAGGTGGGATTTTATTTTATTTTTTTTGGTAAATTACACTAACCTTCCGTTAGATTTAGAGAAAATACAACTAGCTTTATAATTTTGTCACAAATACACTTATTTCTCATTTAGTAAGACTAAAATGATCGAAACTAATACAAATATTGTGAAGACACCCAAGATAAATAAAGAAAAATATATAATGCAATGTAAAAGATATTGACAATATCATTTTCCATCCACATGACTATAAAATTATTGATAAAAATGGGGCTAAGTGTTATATGACATACAACTTTAAAGAAGCTCAATGTAATTATGCCAAAATTGTGGAATATGTTGTATTTTCTCTAAACCTCAGGGGAGGTCAGTGCAATTTACCCTTATTTTTTGTTTGACTGAAATGCTAAAAAAATATATATATAAAATAAAAAAAAAAGATAATTACTTATGAAGATTATATACAAAAATTATTTGCAAAAGAGTAATACTGTATATAATTATATTTATATATATATATTTCTCATTCTTAACCACAAAATAATGGGATTCATATTCATAAATGCATATGAAACATATTCGCTTATGTATTGGAGAATGAGAAAAATAAGTAAGAAATATAATTATATGTAGTATTTTTTGTCGCAAAAAAAAAAAACATTTTTCAAAAAAAAAAAACATTTTTCAAAAAAAAAAGTATCAAAAATGCCAAGACACTCCAATTTTCTACCATGTAAGTGTTTGATATAAAATTTGGTAGAAAATTTTGTAACATTGCTCAAAAAAAAAATGAAATATGATATATAGGCTAACGTTTTAGATCCAATTCCTAGACTCAATAACGTGTAAGTGAAATGATTAGTTGATGATTAAAGAAAATATGAGAATGAATTGTGTAAGATATTCTAATTATTTACTACATCATTAAGTTTGAAAATTAGATCTAATTTTTAGTCTAAATAGCAATCCCTCTGGCCTTGGTTGGCAAAGGTTTTTTTTGCTTTTTGGGCTAATATCCATAAAAAGACAAAATAGACTAAAATAACCAATAAGACAAAATATCACACCAAATCAATAATCGTTTTATTTTTTTTCTTACAAATAACATATCTAATTGCAAAAAAAAATCAATCATCTTTCCAAACACAAATATTTTAACCAAAATAACCTATTAAAATAGTCAACTTTCCAAATGAGGCTTATGGATTTGATTACTCTTGCAAAAAAGTTTATACATACCTTTTGCTTCCAATGCTTTAAGTTTTATTATTGATTTGTTGAATCAACTTCTTCTTCTTTTTTTGGTTGGATAATCAACTTCTTCCTCTTCTTCTTGAATGGCACTTGGGGAAGGCGATGAGATGTAGTCAGCCAATGCTTCATCATTCGTATCTGCATTATTCTCATCAACCTCAAAAATTAATTTAGCCGCACACTTTTTTATCTGTGTCTGCTCACACTTTGTTATGAAAATCTCCACTTCATCACCGCCTTCTAATTTACTCATTGACGTAAATTCGAGGCACATCTGGTCTTCACTACATAAACCATCACCGGGATAACAAAATGAATTTGATCTCCGGACTTTGTTTATATGGTATTTGAAACAAATAAGAGAGTGTAAGAAATCTCTTGTATATATTGTATCTGACAATGTAAGAGGAGACTCCATTTATAGGAGCTATTGTTTACAACATCATTATGTTACATTACATAAAATATTAGAAAGTGGCCGAAAGCAGCCGAAAGCGAAGGCGTGCTCTGGCATCCTAGCATCCACTATATATATATATATAATATATTAGTATAGCTATGTGTGTTAATATAATATATATACATATTAATATATGTTACATTATATTAATATATGTTAACAGTATTCAAGACAAAAAGAACCTGTTTGCTTGCATTTTTCATTGAAATTGGATCCAATGTAAATTATGCATACAGCCAAGCCCCGTATTTTATGATTTATAAGGGGCGGCACCTTGACAGACAAATATGATCCTTCACTTTGGTACTCGAACCGTCTGGGAACCTCACCCCATGTAAGATGGATTTCAGAATGACTTACAAAACCATGGATCGCAGGACTCTCAAGTGCATGAAAATCCTGTTCCAATAGATGATGCATTAGTCAAAGTACAGACTAAATCTCTTTTTCTTACTAAGATATGCAATGAAAAATAAAATCCAACTTGACATCAGGAAAAAGAAATAGAAAGCCAAAAGTGAAGGAGGAAAATAAAAGAAAAAGCAATTTTCCCTTTTCTTTTATCTTTGTTTCCCCCTCCACAAATTCAAGATCCAAACAAAACCTTTGATGAATGAGACATTAGCAATTGTATTAATTCAGAATAAATAGGGATTGATTATGGTTGTTGAAACATGATATATTATACCAATGAGAGAGAGAGAGAGAGAAAGAGAAAGAGAGAGCGTATACCTTAACCTGTTGTATGGCTGCTTTCATGACATTATTTACAAAATTGCTCTCGGCTAATTTATGGCAACCTTTAAATCTCAGGATTGGCCCATAATGAACCCCAACCAGCCATTTTAACTCAATGTTCTCTAATGAAACACAATCAACTGCAGTCAATGCACGTATGCTCTTAGGAAGCTCAGGAATTGATTGGAGCCTTGCACAACTACTAAGGTAGAGGGTTCCCAAGTTAGTAAGCTTACAGATGTCATTTGGTATGGTACGTAAATTGTTTCTAATAAGTTTCCTAATGAGTTCAACTTCCAAATTGCACCAGGCAGATGTGACAAATTGCAGTTGTTCATACCTAGCTGAATCAAGCTAGTAAGGTTACTGATGCTATCCGGAAGCATACACAAATTATTTCCATCAAGGAACAAATCTGTTAATGAGATCAAACTCCCAATTTCACTGGATAAACATGATACATTGCAATTTGTCATCTCCAAATATTGCAAGCAAGTAAGGTTACCGATGCTATCCGGTAAGGTACACAAATTATTTCCTGTAAGATCCAAATGTCTTAATGAGATTAAACTCTCAAATTGACTGGGCAAATATGATACATTGCATTTTTCCATGTTCAATGATCGCAAGCGAGTAAGGTTGCCGATGCTATCCGGTAAGGTACACAAATCGTTTCCTTTAAGACCCAAATGTGTTAATGAGATCAAATTCCCAACTTCACTAGACAGATATGATACATTGCAATTTGCCATGTCCAATCTCTGCAAGCGAGTAAGATTATAGATGCTATCCGGTAACATACACAAAAACTTGTTTCCACTAAGATCCAAATGTGTTAATGAGACCAAACTCCCAATTTCACTGAGCAGATATGACATATTGAAATTGGCTATCTTCAACGTCTTCAAACTTCTTAAACCCTGTAATGAAAAACCAATGGAATCCACGTTCTTTCTTGGCAATGCCGAAGATGAGAAAAATGTGTACAATGATTTTGATAGTAATCCTTTAAATCCAGCAAATTCTCTTAGTTTGGAGCAGCCCGAGAGATCAAGATACTCGAGAGATTTTGACATCAAAATCCTTGAAGGAAACTGCTCAAGTTTTATACAATTTGCCATGTCTAGGACAATAAGTTTGTTGAAACATCCAATAGATTCATCAATCTCTACCAACCTTATGCAGTTATCAATCAATAGTTCCCCAAGATTGTTGAGTCCAGAGAAGTTTGGGGTTTTGGTTAGGTAATAACAATGACTGAGATAAAGAAATTTCAGATTATTAACATCCTGTCAAAAACACAAAGAGAAAAATTATTTTCCACATCAGTACAATATTATTGATGTATGAAATGTAAAGAAATAATATTATACCTTGGTTCCCTTCCAAACTGATTGATATATGAAATGTAAAGGATAATATTATACCTTGGTTCCCTTCCAAACTTGTTTCAGTTTGCTATAACGCAAGTCAAGAGCAACCAACTTCTCTATGTATAATTTCGATGGCAACCATACCAACAGACAACCATTCCAGCTTAGCCATAATAACCTTCTAAAATTATGTTCCAAACCTGAACTTAGGTGAACATAATCGAGATGAAGAAGCCACAATTCGTTCATATTTTCAAAGGCCTTCGCATTCACTTGGACTTCTTTGGACTCGGGAAAGTTCAGGAAGAGGCCCTTAACTACTTTAGTACCCTGATAAGAAAACCCATGGCACAAAAAAATTACATTAGTTGGAAAACAAAACTTAAAGCCAAGTATGTTTGCATCAGTTAATTGCCAAAATTAAGAATGTGCATATGCATGTCAAATTATTGCAAGAATTAAACATCAAATATTAATTGGAAGTTCATGCTTATGGTTCTCACCGTGCCACATCTCAACACTTCAAGACCATCCATATGAAGCCACAATCTACTACGCCTTCCAGGCTCATCATTAGATTCTTTCTTGACGATTTCTCTGCCCATGTCTCTAAGCATATCATGCATCACAAGCTCGTTCCATGGCCCATATTTTATGAGACAACGATTGAAGAGAATCCTCAACCCAAATTCAGGGAATAAATCACAGCCTTTTAATATTTTGATTATAAAATTTCGATCCATTCCAACAAAGAAACATGCTATATCCAGGAATAACTCCTTCTCTTCTTTCCTCAATGAATTGTAACTTATTTCAAGTTTTTCTTGAATATCTTCATTGGGGATTTTTTTCAATTTTTCTATTGCACTTTCCCACTCCTGTATGCTTCTGTTGCATGACAAAAAGGAACCCAAAATTTCAAGAGCTAATGGAAGCCCTCTGGCATAGTCCACAACTTGTTTTGAAAGTTCCAAATAGTTTTCTATGGGATGGTCTTCCTTAAAGGCATGCCAACTGAAGAGTTGAAGAGATTTGTCCTCATCCAACTCCTTTGGTGTATATATCTCATTCTCGCCTGGTTTAAAATTTAACGAAGACAAATCTCTTGTTGTTATGATGATTCTACTTCCAAGACCAAAATAAGTTCGATCAATGGCTAATTCCTTCAATTGTTTGATATCATCCACATCATCCAAGACAATTAGAACCTTTCGACGCAATGCTCTCTGTATATGACTCCTTTTCCTTGGTGAATATTTCTCTGATGTTATCAATTTTACTTTTGAATATATCAGAAAGAAGTTGTTCTTGTAATTTTAACAAACCATTTGATTTCTTCCAAGTTTCTCTGATATCTGCAAGAAAGCTGCTACCAGCAAATCTATGGTGGATGAGTTTATACAGACTTTTAGCTATTGTTGTCTTCCCTAGTCCACCAATCCCCCATACTACAACAATGCGAACATCATTATCATTTGGCTCCATGCGCAACAACATTCTGAGGTCCTGCACACGATCCTCTAGTCCAACTGGGTGGTCTGCAGGACTTAAATGTTCAAGATCTATTACATTTCCAACTTCCTCAATGATTTTAGCAATTAACTTCACTTCATCTCTGCCAAGCAAAATTAAAAAACGAAAGTAAGGATTTAGCAAATTCACACATCTGGTGCTATGGCATTGGAAATTTGATGGATAAACTGGTTTTGATTTATTTTTATGAATAATGTAAATGATTCTAAATATAATTTTGTAACTACAATTAAGATTCTACTTATACATCCAAATGAAATTGTTCCTAATTTGTGTTGTTTTGGATTATTTTCAAGCAAACATTAAGAGGCTTGAGGAAAATACCCGCCGTACTCGTTCTTCAAGTCCCAACCAGACTTATTAGCAGCCTCAGTAAGAGCTGCTCTCCACTTCTCCACCTTGCCATCTGAACTCTTTCCAAAATGTTCTTCATGCTTGGCAAATGCTTCTGCAAGGCTCCCCTTTTGTGCACGCACATCGGATGGATCAACGTCATAAAAAATAGGCAGAACAATCTGATTAAATGTCTTCTTGCACTTCATGATCCACACAAGTTCATCTAGACACCACTTCGACATTGCATAATTTTTTGAGAACACAATAATAGAAATACTAGACTCCTCAATTGCTTTTAGAAGTTCAGAACCAATATCTTCTCCTCTGTTGAGCTTTGTGTTGTCTCTAAATGTGTAAAAACCATGTCGCTCTAAAGCAGCTAACAGATGACTGGTAAATTTCAAGCGGGTATCAATGCCACTGAAACTCAGGAAGACATCATATTTGCGTTGTACAGTGGAGGAAGAGGAAGAGGCTTCGTTTGCCCAAGAAGCAGCCATGTGTGAAGCTCAAAGATGAATGAAAGTTTGTAGACTAGTGCTTTTGTTCAAGGAACAAGGGCTAGCCTTGTATACTTCTTCCTCCTTAGGTGGCTTGTATATATTTCAAAAGATTCTTACCTCCGGAAAAAAACAAAAGGGTTAAAAGAAGTAAAATTCTTACAAATAACACTTTCAAAAATATTATGATTTTATTCCACAAATACATATTGTAATATTACTTTGGCAGTGGTGGAAGCAAACGAGTGATCTGTTATCTTTAAAGAAGGAGATGACTAAATTTTTGTAGTCTGATTCCTAATGGTAAAAGAAAAGATTTTGGTATTTTCTTAAGAGAGGGCTTAAAATCATGGCTTTTTGGAACTTGAAAGTACTGTTGAAGACAGAAAATTGAAACTAAACCATTGTCACAAGATCACAACATGAGCGAAGCAATTGAAAACAATTAAACCAAGATCAGTACTTCACTTCAATATTAAGAGCATAACCTATGTCTGATTCATGAACAAACACATGCTTTTCCCTCAAGGTCAATGAAGAAAAAACTTCATAAATTAGAAATTTCATCAACAACAACAAGAAATACAGTCATACATACATACATACATACATACATATTTTTAAAAATCATCTAAACTAAGCTCCCAAAACGCTTATCTTCAACCAGAGACAACACAGACCAGATCTCACAGAAATGCTGTGGTAGAATGAAGAAAAATGTTTTTCTTTTGCTCGGTACAAAATATTTTATTAATGGCAATAAAATAAGAGAACACTGCTGCGGATTCTTTTGATTTATATCCTCTACCTTACATGACATGGTAATAATGGAGATCATAAATCCAAAGATTGATAATTGTTATGTTAATTGTTTCTGATTTTAAAATTAAAATATATTTATTGACTCTTTAACGATCATTAATCTAAGCAAATAAACAATTATCATAAAGAAAAGCCGGATCCAAAGTTTTTTAAGGATACTCATTTTTTTTTCATATGTACGTACCTTTGTATGAAATGGAAATCTAAGTGTGTGCAGATGCTTCATTTGCCATGATCATCATCTGCAAAGGAAAATTTGAGTTCAAGAGTGAAAAAAAAGAAGGTGAGATGGAGGGAGAGCTTGAGCATGCAGTAATGGATAGGTTTGTGAATTGCTTGGTATCCCTCACAGGTGATGGGAAAGGAAATGTAGCTGGTGGTAGTGGCAGTAGTAAGGGAGGTGGGTACTGGGCAGAGAGAATTGATTTTATATAATAAGAGCCAAATGCATAGTGAGGGATGTGGGTACTGGGCAGAGAGGATTGGTTGTATATATAATAAGAGGGCGTCGTCATTATGCAGAGGAGGACATTGACATTTTGGTTCTATGAAGTTTCTGCTTTTGTGTCTATGTCATTGACAATGAGGAGGAAGGGGAGAAGGAGGAGTGTTCAAATCCTCTAGAGTACTCCCTCCCAGGAGTATTCCTGCAGTATTGTTTTGCACTAAACCATGTCATTTTGCTTAAACCCAAGAAAGAAAGAAAAAAAAACTAGACTGTCTCTCTTCCTCCTTCCTCCCCACCCTCATACAGGTAGTCACCTATCCCCTACCCACCCCTCGTCACTGCATGCAAAGAAAATTAATTTGCTACTCTTGAATCCTTTCATATAGAATTTTTCTATGATAAAAAATAAAAAATAAAAAATAAAAAAATGATGAGTAATTTTTTTTATCGGGCATTGATTAGTAACGAGTAAACAAGATACAAAAACAATGTGATTTTCTCAACCAAAAAACTGGTGATTTTTGTGATTTTCTTTATCATTGAAATTGACCCTATTGATTAGTAACGAGCAAACAAGATACAAAAACAACATAATTTTCTCAACCAAAAAAATGGTGATTTTTGTTGATCATATTTACTTATCTACATAACGGAAAATAAATTTGTTCACACACTTTAAGAGTACAATACACCAAATTTGATTGATTCAAAATAGTAAGTCTCTCATTTAAAAAATGTACTGACTTCACTTAAAATTATAGATTATATATTTTTGAACCAATCAAAACTTGTATTTTATTCACACATTATACAAAATTGAACTCCCACTTGAATCACAATGACCACACTAATCAAAAATTTTAATATGGTACCTAGTAATGACCATACTAGTTTTGTACCATAATGGGACTTCGAGGAAAACCGTGAAGAACCTTGAACACAAATCAGAAACTTCAAAACAAAACCTTAATTCATTTCATGGGCTTGGATAAATTTAAATCCTCAATAATGTACAGAGACTGAATTGAAGATCTTAGGGTAACACACAGCTCACATGGACTCCCATGTACAATCTGGAAAGAGGGAAACACAACCACCCCCTTCTCTACAAACTACACAAAAATCACTAAAATTATATACAAATTTATGTGATTATTAACTATACAACTCAACTATCAAGCATATGATCGAGCTTTTCTTTCTCTCAAGGGAGTAGTTATAAGAGAAGGATGGTTCTTGATACAGTTCAAATTGAAAGGAACCATCTCAAAGCCTTTGAGACTAATATTACTGCTCTTCACAACATTTTCTTTGACCCCATGAACTATAAAATTGCTCCTTCTAAAATAAAAGTCTTTGTCGATGACCTCGTCTTGGTGAAATGTAAAAGGAAAATGAAAACTCGGGTCAAGTCAAGCTTAGGCTTTGAAACCATGGTATCTCTTTCTAAGCAATCTCATTGTTGGGCAACCACTTTTACCTTTTCAAAAAACTCCTTCATATTAGTCTGTCGATGACAATTAAAAGAAAAAAGAAAAAATAGTCATCTTCCTAGGTTTTTGAATGAATTAGTGATTAATAATTTAACATAATATTAAAATAAATAATAAATTAAATATCAAATTACAGTAAATTAGGTAAACCCAATATTATAAATAAATCCATAGTGACGAGCTTAATACATTAAAGTGTTTTTTTTTTTTAATTTATACAGTTATATTTATATTTTGATTCAATTATAATAACAAAAAAAAATTGCACCAGTTATTAGCTAGATCACTAAATTAACAAAGATTTACAAATTAGACCCCATTTTATCCTATTTGTCCACAAAATTTAACGTTGTTTTGGAAAGTGACTTATAAGCTAGTTTTTTGACTTATCAAAAAATATATATAAAAAGTAAAGAGGTTATGTGACCAAAATAAATCAATTAGTTAGTTTATAAGCCACCCCCAAAAGAGGCCCAGGACAACCAAAAAAGGAATTGCACAAGTTGGAAAAAGAGTAAAAATCTTGAACAAAATCAGAAGCTTCAAAACAAAACCTTGATTCATTTTTCGTGGGCTTGGATAAATTTACATCCTCAATAATGTACACAAGACTGAAATGAAGATCTGAAGATCACACAAGTCCCCTTGGAATACTCAGATGTACAATCTGTTTGAGAGAGGAACACAAACCACTCTCTTTCTCTACCTCCCCAGCTATGCAAGACCACCCACACTATACCAACTACACAAAATTCACCAAAATTATATACAATTTTTTGCTATTAATTCATACAATCAAGCTCTTTCTTTCTCTCAACATAGGGGAGTAGTTACAAGAGAAGGATGGTTCTTGAAACAATCCAAATTAAAAGGAACCATCTCAAAGCCTTTGAGACTACCATTACTCTTCACAACATTTGCTTTAGCACCATGAGCCATCAGATATATTGCAACCTGCATATGCCCTCGCTCCACCGCACGACGAAGCGGTGTGTATCCACCATCATCAAGAAGATCAATCTGAGCTCCATTACTAACCAAGGTCTTAACACTCTCAATTCTGCCTTTAAATGCAGCTCTATGTAAAGCAGTCCAACCATTCTGATCCTTCCCGTTCACATTCACTCCTTCCGCAATGCAACTCTTCATCGCAAGAACATCATCAATCCTCGCAGCTCTCTGCAATGCATCGCCCAAATGCAACATATCGTACAAATGCGAGTAACCCTTTTCGACTGCCAAAGCAAACGCCGTCTTTCCATCTTCATTCACAGCATATTTGACAAACATCGAACAATTCAGCAAAAACTCAACCGCCTCATGGTGCCCTTCGGAGGCAGCACAATGAAGCAGAGTCCAACGATTATAGTCCACAGCATCAGGATTACCCCCCATGGAAACAAGAAATCGAAGAACCTCAACATGCCCATGAATAGCCGCAACGTGAAGAGCAGCTCGCCCCTGCGAATCAATTGAATTCACATCGATATCTCCAAAACCCAGAAACAATAACTTCATTAAGTCTGCTCGATTGATCGCTGCAGCATCGTGTAAAAACCGATCAATCGAATGGTCAATTACAAACCCAGATTCAATCAGAACCTGAACCGAATCAATATTCCCTGATTGAACAGCCAGTGACACCACAGACTGCCCGTTCGAATCCCTATGATTAATATCAGCTCCAGCATCGATCAAAGCCGATACAAAGTAAGAATTTCCAAACCCAGTAGCAGATCTGAGCAAATTCATAATCTCAGACTCATCACACCCAGAAATCGCTTTAGACAAGAGAAAAGAAACTTCAAGAGACTTGTTATAAGGAGGAGAGAAAAGAGATTCAATGACATGAGGGCCTACGAGAGAGATTGGGATTGTGGCATCCTTAAAGATGTGTGCACCGGGCTTGGAAAACAGACGGCGGAGATCGTCCTGATGGGCTTTGCCGGTGGGGAGCATGGATGATCGGACAAGGATGGTGTCAGGAGGAGAAGAGAGAGGTGGGTGATCAGAAGAGAGGTGGAGAGTGAAGGAGGAGGTAGACAGAGGTGGGAGGATAGAGAAAGGGTTGGGGAAGGAGAGAGAAGATGGGTTTGTGGTGGAGAGTGAAACAGCTACAGACATGGTGTGCATGAGGTTGGTTAGCCTGAAAGTGGCAGTGGACTTTTGGCCTCTGGTGAAGGTGAGGTTTACTTCTTTTACATCTGCTTTAACTAGTCTGTCCATGGAGTTTTTGCTTTGTAAGGAGAGTAGAGAAGAAGCTGAATTTGGGTATGGTTGATGAAGATGAAGATGGAGATGAGGATATGCTGAATTGAGAGGATGGCGATCGGGTGTTTTGTTATACTATTGTTGCTTTTGTTTTTTTATTGAAATTGTTTATGTTATTTGGACATAATATTGTATGTGTATTTTATAAGCATTTTGCTGTGGGTTTAGGTTGATGGTGGAGGGGCAAAGATGGTGACTTCGAATGCGAGAGGAAAGGAGGGAGAGGAGAGTCATTGGTTTGGCGCGTTTCAAAATAAAGAAAATTAATAATAATATAAATTTGGAAAAATATCAAAAAAATACTTTAAAATATATATTTATGGAGAGGGTTGCTATTAGCATCTACCTAATTTTTTTAGACCCTTCATTTTTTTGAACCCTTATCCTAAACTCTAAATTTTAATAAGATTTCTTTAAACACTCCACTTAATACTGATTTTATCCATATTCATAATATCATTATCCCCAAGTACATACCCATCTAATTTTGCATACTCTCTCATCTTCTTCTCTCAGTAAACAATGAATGATTGAGAGACGATTAAGAACAACAAACAATTGAGAGACGAATCGACTATCCCTCTCTTCTCCTTCTCTCATAAATGATGGTCTCTTTCTCCTTATTACCGTGAACGACAGTATCTCAGTCGGAAATGTCATCAAAAATCTCTTCGATGGTCTTTTCTTCTTCTCTCAGGTAATCTCCAACTTCCCATCACATTTTTTTTTTTCTTCAGGAATTTCGGGATAAAACCCTCGATATAGGGGGGTTTAGAGGGAAAAACCCATCAGTAAAAATAGAATAGGAGAAAAATCATACAAAATGAAAGCGTTCGGCATTCTAGTGACGAACAAAATATTTATGTTTAGCACTATATTATTAAACTAAATGTTTCTGTTCAGTACTGTATTACTGAACAGAACCTTAACAGTCAGCAAACCAGTGCCTAACAGCAAACGATCTAGAATCGTAAATGCAAGATAGATAAACTTACCAATGCAACGCCAACCTCATCAGAGTTGTTGTCATCGTCCTCCATTGCTCTATAAGTATCAACAAATAGTGAAAACGATTTAATAAGATTATGTGCAACATTAACTGATTTGGAATGCCAAACATATTTGAAATTGCTAAACAAAACGTTAATGGATTAGGTGGTTTCAAATTTTTCATTGAAGATGAATACGTGAGTTTAGGATAGTGATGAAGAAGAATAAGATTAGGGTTTAGGTTGGTAAATAATACATATAGATGGGGATGTACGTGAATGTATAATATTATAGAGTGTCATTCTAATTATTTTTATTTGGTGGGTGGGTATTCCATTAATAGTTATCCTTTAATGTAATTTTACTTTAAGGTATAATTGTAATAAATAAAAAAGGTAAAAATTGAGAGTTTAAAGAAATTAGATAGATACTAATAACAGCACTCTTTATGGATCACAACATTCACATCATATCAATTTTCAATTAATATCATATAATTTATTTTAAACTAAATTTCATGACATCTTTTTATTTCTGTCAAAATAAAACAAAATTTGTAGGTGTTTGAGATTTGCTTATTTGATGCTCTCTTTTTTTGTTTATTTTTATTTTTCATGAATTTTTTTTTTTTTTTAAAAATAAAAAGCTTTACGCTTCTAGAATCAATTCGACGAGAGTAACTAAAAATTTTAATTTTTTAAAAAACATTCCAAAAAAAGGTTCAAAAAAGACACCCAAAAATAAATAAATAAAAACTTTGGCACAATTTTTTTTTAAAAAAAAAAGAGTCACTAAAGCTAAAAAAAATCAAAAAGAAAAAGAAAAAAAAGAGATGACTTTAGCCAATAAGCTAACATGCCAAACACCAAGCAATTTCCAGCATTAGACTGTGAGGTACAAATTTTGGAAATTTGATTGATGAAAGATGAACAAACTTCCAACTTGTTGACCTGACCAAATGGTCATCCTTTCTTGATTGATGGCTTTTGTTGTTGTTGTGGATGGTTGATTGGGGACCATTTTGAACGGCATCTAAAAAGCATGGTGTGGAATCAGGGTCATGGTTTTGAATATAAAAAAAAGTCATTTATATACCCACCCACCCCTATTATTTTAAATATATACTTCCTAGAGCAACTCTCCAACCCCTATTCTTTTCAACCTTATTCTTTATTTTAATTTTTTAAAAGTTTCTTCGAAAGTTAATTAAAAAGTTAACTTATTAATTAAAAATGAACCTAAAAAAAATAATGTTAAAAATACTAACTTGCATAATACATTCCTACTTTTTTTAAAAAATTTTTTTTACCTTTTCATGACTTTTGAAAATTGAAAGTCATTTAAGTAATTGGGTCTTAAATAACTAATTTCTAAACAAATTAACAATTAACATATAACCATCCATATTATCGAGAGTCAATTTAGAAGTGATATCTTATAAGTTTTAAGCATTTTTCTTTTAACAAAATAATTTTTTACCTTACCACTTTAGCTAGCACGTACTCCAATAATTTTTTGTAAAGTTTGCATAATCATTTATGCTTTTCCAATGTAGAAAGCAAAATAATGTTTAAAGAGCCTATTGGAGGGCTACAACTAAGTCGAGGCTAACTAAAATGTCTAATTTGGTGTTTTAAAGAATCTGTTCAAAATGTTCGTACACTATGTTTAATAATTGTTATAAATTTAACTAAATTCATAATATCATAGATGAACAGGATTAGTAATATCGTAAGACATACTATGTTAATTAGAATAAAATATAACATGAAATATAATGAGAGAATCATTTACCTATAAATATTAATGGGCCTTCAATTCAATGGTATAATTCAAGTGGTCGGATAAACAATTCCATGTTAATACCTCTCGAAAATCAATTAAACCATGTCGAAACAACTTCAAGAAGACATGTGGGTCTGGATGTCGCCTCTAATCTGGACAGAGGAGGGATAATTGTATGTCCAAGCTGACTTCATATGAGGCATGAGGATTTGGGTCTGCTTGGAATTTAGATCCTCTCCTAGTTCAATGAAGGTCTCAATTTCAATATATAAGGTAATATGACTTCAATAAAAAACCAAAATCAATAGTTTATAACCTTAGTGATGTAGACTTCATACATTCTAGCTACCTATAGGCAGCTCAACCATTTCTCTCCTATGTTTTGCTCGTCTTATATCTAGTCTTTCTCGCATCAAATGACCTGCAAAATAAAACATTGACAATGATAAGCATCATAAAATTTGATTAAAAATTCAGTGCCCTGTTAGTTATCCTAAGTGATTCATCTTACCAAAATCCACCAGGTCAGACAAGTTTTACGATTTGTTTTCTAGTAATTCATTCGCTCACGATTAATTTTCCAAAAAAAACAAGTGCACAAACAAATCATAAATACTAGCCAAAGCAATCTGATTTCCCCAAACATTTCAACTTCACTGTCCTCTGTTTGCTAAGCTTGTCTAGAGGTCACCCAATAAAACTGAAGATTGACATTACCATGATCTTTCCAAGCTGCATACAGGTGAATTTCTAGAGAAACTTGAATCTGACCTTGTTTGGCAAAAGCCTTTAAGCTTCATTTTTCACTTTTATATCCCAAAAAATCACTTCCTGTAGAGCATCAGTTCTCCCTTTGTAAGGATTGTCAATTGACTATGGGTATGTTAGGATCTTGGATTTGTGGAGGTCAAATAAACGGGGAAGAGATTTATATTTAAAAAAATTAGTACCTATTTCATTCATTTTTCCCTCCCTTTTTTCTATTCCCTTCACAAATCTCTCACTAAATCCAAGATCCAAACACAACCTAAAAAATTCTCTTGAAATTTCTTTTGAACTTTCTTCGATAGGTTCTCTTCAATTTTACTTAGTCTACAAAGAACTGTAACTGTAACATTTAACTCATAGGCAGCAGTTTCATTTGTTCTCAAACAAATACCTGTGGCTGAATCTGCTTTCAAATTTAACACACACTCACACACACACAAAAAAAAACTTAAAACTATATTTTACATGGTCAAACACGAAACTTCCTTCTCAGTCCAGGCAACCCAAACACCACCTAAACAATGCTAACAATTCCTCAAATAATGCTGTCAGCACTCCCTATCAACTATCAAGGCAAAAAGTTATGATGTCATCATAATGTCATCTCACCTATTTTTTATAGGCAAATTTAATAATCTCATCAACTATCAAGGCTAAAAGTTATGATGTCATCATAATGTCATCTCAGCTATTTTTTATAGGTAAATTCAATAAGAGCCGTGCTAGGGAGCTTGAATTTGGAGCCCTCGAATCCCCCGAATCAACCAAAAATCAAGAGATGAAGAAGATGAAGGAAGAAGGAAGAAGAGAAGGAAGAAGAAGAAGAAAAAGGACTGGAGGGGGCAATATCAACCGGGCGGAGGCGGAGGCGGAGGCAGAGGCAGTGGCAGAGGCAGGGCGGAGACGATCAGCCGACGAGCTGCGATCGGCCGACGAGCTGCCACGAGCAACGAGCTGCGATCTGCGATCGACATCCACCGTTGCTCGCACCGCCATCGCCACACCTACCGTCGCACCCGCCGTCTCTCTCTCTCTGTTTCCCTTCTCTCCTCTCCTCCTCTCTCTTTCTCCCTCTCTCCTCTCCTCTGTTTCTCCGTCTCTCTCCCTCTGTTTCAGAAAAAAAAAATTAAAAAAAAATAAACTGCCCAAAACAATGTTGGGGGATTCGGGGGAGGAACTTTCGAGCTACAAAACATTTTTCATTCAATAATCTCATCCCATAAAATTATAGCCATACATTGCACTGATTAAAATATGGCACACAGATTAATTCAATTAGGCCAGGAGGAGGTACGGATGGAGAAGAAAGGCACACAGTTAATAACAGCAAAAAAATATAAAATAGCGAAGGATAAAGAACAAAAATGGATGGGAACATTGTTTAGAAAGGTGGTGCCACAACTAAATATTTGGAGCATTGTCTACATAAAATGAGAATAAATAAGAATATGACAATCTGATGCGC